AATCCATCGATGAACAGTACCAACCCAACCCAAGAAAAATAGAAATTTTGACGTTTTCAACCATTTTCTTGTATAACTCAATAATTATAACCGATGAAAAAAAACATTTCATACAAAAAAGGTTTAGAATTAACCCATAAAACATATCCAATATGATATTTTAATCCACCGGTCAGCAGTACCAACCCAACCCAAGAAAAATAGAAATTTTGACGTTTTCAACCATTTTCTTGTATAACTTAATAAATATAACCGATGGAAAAAAACATTTCATACAAAAAAGGTTTAGAATTAACCCATAAAACATATCCAATATGATATTTTAATCCACCAGTCAGCAGTACCAACCCAACCCAAGAAAAATAGAAATTTTGACGTTTTCAACCATTTTCTTGTATAACTCAATAATTATAACCGATGGAAAAAAACATTTCATACAAAAAAGGTTTAGAATTAACCCATAAAACATATCCAATATGATATTTTAATCCACCAGTCAGCAGTACCAACCCAACCCAAGAAAAATAGAAATTTTGACGTTTTCAACCATTTTCTTGTATAACTCAATAATTATAATCGATGGAAAAAAACATTTCATACAAAAAAGGTTTAGAATTAACCCATAAAAGATACCCAATAAGTTATTTTAATCCATCGATCAGTAGTACCAACCCAACCTAAAAAAAAAATTTTGACGATTTCAACAATTATCATGTTGTTCAATTTGTTCAATTATAATTCAATAATTATAATCGATGGAAAAAACATTTCATACAAAAAAGGTTTAGAATTAACCCATCAAAGACATTCAAAGAAAGAAGGCACTGAAGAAGAAACGGTAATATCATTAGAAAGTGATGTTGGTGAGATGGATTATGACATGGCATACACATAGTTGGAGAGAACGTTTAAATTAGAATACGAGGATAAGGTGGAAAAAGAGGAAGTGTTGCCGGAAGAAGAAATAAAAATAGAAGAAATATCCATACCTGCCGTACCGGGAATAGGCCCCAAAGTTCGCTATGAATTGGTTGATGCAGTGGTTTGTTACATAAAACGTGTTGCACATTATTGTTGCCCAGCATTAGAAGTTTTCGAAAAGGAGTTTAATCCACAACACCTTTTAACCTAAAAATAATAAAAGAATTATATTACACATTATCACATAACCTATAAATTTATTTTCAATAAACACATACACAAGCTTCCTTAATTTTAATCGAATTCTCCTTAATTCGTATTTAGTACATCACCATAAGCAAATACCATTTATTATTGAATAAATAAACCATCAAATTAACAAATTTCACACGTAAATAAATTAGCACTATAACGCCATCTATTGACAAAAATTAAAACCAAAGTAAAGCACCCTCTCCCGATCAAAGTTGAAAGTGTCATTTAAATCTTTTGACAGTTCGTGTAAGGTTGTAACGCGCTTAAAAACTTTCCGTATCAAATAATATTAAAATAAATTATTAATTCGAAGAGTTTCGGCATTAATTTCAAAAGAAAACAATCGAAACTGTATAATCGCGATGGAAAATCCTTCGGAAGCGGGGGTGAGTAATCAAAAACATAAAAAACCGGCTTTTTGAGGTTATGTACGCCATTCCTTTGTAGTCGGGTGATAAACAACGCAGTTTAAGCGAATCTTCTGATACCGTTTTTGAAAGTTCCATAGAATTTGATCCATTACTACCGGAGGTGCCGGTTATAACCAACGAAGAAAATGAGGAGGTTCTATTGGTTACGAGAGCTCGAGTTTATCGGTTTGTTGCGAAAGAAGATGAACCACGGGAGTGGGTCGTACGTTATTTTTGAACTCATTTAATAATTTATTATTGTTTTAATTCGTTCTTTTTAGGAACGTGGAACTGGGGAATTAAAAATATTACACGACACGGTAAATAATTCAGCTCGTGTTGTGATGCGTCGGGATAAGATATTTAAAGTTTGTGCAAATCATTTTATAACGCCAACGATGGAATTAAAACCTTGTTTTGGGTCAGATAAAGCTTTTCATTATGTCGTTGCTGGTGACTTTACCTTTGAAACGTTAAGATCTGAATGTTTTGCATTTAAATTTAGGAATAGCGAATGTTTGTATTTTTATGACGCTTTTTGTGTGGAGTTAAAAATTACTTTTGATTTTAGGTGCAAATCAATTCAAAGAGAAATTTAATGAGGCTAAAAAAATCGTTACAGAGAAGTGTAGTTTGTATTGTTTAAAAGATGATGATGAGGATGATGATTCGGAAATTGATGATGAGAAAGTTGAGAACCAAAATGATGTTGAGAAAGTTGAGAATGAAAAAGATGGAGAGAAAAAAGATGATTTAAGCAAAAAAATGAAGGAATTGGTTGTTGAGGAAAAGTGATGTTTTTAATAGAATATCTTTAAGACCTATATTTTTGTATGGAATTGCTAAAACTCTTCGAAGAAAATTTTCTGAATCTTAAAAATATGTTACTCAGTATGTTTAGTGTCATTTTTTTTTAATAAAAACGTTTTCTTACCTACCTTACATATATATCACTTTTCTATGTTGTAATAAATTAACTAATAATATAAATAAATATAATTAATTATAAAAGTGAGGTTAAGACAAAAATCCACCAATCAGCAGTACCAACTTAACTTGAGGAAAATACAAATTTTGACGTTTTCAACAATTTTCTTGCATAACTCAAAAAATATAATTGATAGAAAAAAATATTTCCTACAAAAAAGGTTTAGAATTAACCCACAAAACATATCCGATAAGTTATTTTAATCCACCGATCAATAGTACCAACCCAACTTGAGAAAAATACAAATTTTGACGTTTTCAACAATTATTTTGCATAACTCAATAAATATAATTGATAGAAAAAAATATTTCCCACAAAAAAGGTTTAGAATTAACCCATAAAACATATCCGATAAGTTATTTTAATCCACCGATCAATAGTACCAACCCAATTTGAGAAAAATACAAATTTTGACGTTTTCAACAATTTTCTTGCATAACTCAATAAATATAATTGATAGAAAAAAATATTTTGTACAGAAAAGGTTTAGAATTAACTCATAAAACATATCCGATAAGTTATTTTAATCCACCGATCAATAGTACCAACCCAACTTGCGAAAAATACAAATTTTGACGTTTTAAACAATTTTCTTGCATAACTCAATAAATATAATTGATACAAAAAAATATTTCGTACAAAAAAGGTTTAGAATTAACCCATAAAACATATCCGATAAGCTATATTAATCCACCGATCAATAGTACCAACCTAACCTGAGAAAAATATAAATTTTGACGTTTTCAACCATTTTCTTGTATAACTCAATAAATATAATTGATAGAAAAAAATATTTCGTACAAAAAAGGTTTAGAATTAACCCATAAAACATATCCAACAAGGTATTTTAACCCACCGATCAGCAGTACCAACTCAATCTAAAAAAACTAGAGTTTTAACGTTTTCAACAATTTCTTTTATAACTGAATAATTATAACCGATGGAAAAAAACATTTCGTACAAAAAAGATTTAGAATTAACCCATAAAACATATCCAATAAGACATTTTAACCCACCGATCAGCAGTACCAACTCAACCTAAGAAAACTAGATTTTTGACGTTTTTAACAATTTTCATTTATAACTCAATAATTATAACCGATGGTAAAAAACATTTCGTACAAAAAAGGTTTAGAATTAACCCATAAAACATATCCAATAAGATATTTTAACCCACCGATCAGCAGTACCAACTCAACCTAAGAAAACTAGATTTTTGACGTTTTTAACAATTTTCTTTTATAACTCAATAATTATAACCGATGGGAAAAAACATTTCGTACAAAAAAGGTTTAGAATTAAACCATAAAACATATCCGATAAGTTATTTTAATCCACCGATCAATAGTACCAACCCAACTTAAGAAAAATACAAATTTTGACGTTTTCAACCATTTTCTTGCATAACTCAATAAATGTAAATGATAGAAAAAAATATTTCATACAAAAAAGGTTTAGAATTAACCCATAAAACATATCCGATAAGATATTTTAACCCACCGATCAGCAGTACCAACTCAACCTAAGAAAACTAGATTTTTGACGTTTTTAACAATTTTCTTTTATAACTCAATAATTATAACCGATGGGAAAAAACATTTCGTACAAAAAAGGTTTAGAATTAACCCATAAAACATATCCAATAAGATATTTTAACCCACCGATCAGCAGTACCAACTCAACCTAAGAAAACTAGATTTTTGACGTTTTTAACAATTTTCTTTTATAACTCAATAATTATAACCGATGGGAAAAAACATTTCATACAAAAAAGATTTAGAATTAACCCATAAAACATATCCAACAAGGTATTTGAACCCACCGATCAGCAGTACCAACTCAACCTCAAAAAAACTAGATTTTTAACGTTTTCAACAATTTTCTTTTATAACTCAATAATTATAACCGGTGGGAAAAAACATTTCGTACAAAAAAGGTTTAGAATTAACCCATAAAACATATCCAATAAGATATTTTAACCCACCGATCAGCAGTACCAACTCAACCTAAGAAAACTAGATTTTTGACGTTTTTAACAATTTTCTTTTATAACTCAATAATTATAACCGATGGGAAAAAACATTTCGTACAAAAAAGGTTTAGAATTAACCCATAAAACATATCCAATAAGATATTTTAACCCACCGATCAGCAGTACCAACTCAACCTAAGAAAACTAGATTTTTGACGTTTTCAACAATTTTCTTTTATAACTTAATAATTATAACCGATGGGAAAAAACATTTCATACAAAAAAGATTTAGAATTAATCCATAAAACATATCCAACAAGGTATTTTAACCCACCGATCAGCAGTACCAACTCAACCTAAGAAAACTAGATTTTTGACGTTTTCAACAATTTTCTTTTGTAACTCAATAATTATAACCGATGGGAAAAAACATTTCGTACAAAAAAGGTTTAAAATTAACCCATAAAACATATCCAATAAGATATTTTAACCCACCGATCAGCAGTAACAACCCAACCTAAAAATAAAATCAAATTTTGAGATTTTTGATAATTTTCGGTTATAACTTAGAAATTATAAATGTTGGAAAATCACTTTTAAAACAAAAAGCATTTAAAATAAACTCATAAATTAAATTAAATTTTTTTAAAATTTATGTCTTCAAAATTGATAGTTTTCGATTTGAGGTTATGTTGGTTTTAATTTGTTTTAAACGTCAAAAAAATTGACGTTTTTGTAACCTCAAAAAGTTAAATTCGCCAAAACCAATTTTCTTATCACTTTAATTAAACCCAAAGTAAAAACCATTTCGAATCCATAAAACAAAGCACCAATTACTTTTATTATCGCCATATTACATTAAAACACGATTAAAACGGCGATTTTCTACAACAAAACAAGATAACTCACTTAATAAAATGCATAAAACGCGAAAGTGAAAGGCGAAAAGTGAATTTCCACGTGGCATGCGCTCTATGACTAACCTAAAATTAACCCCAAACCCGTTGCGGAATGAATCGATGAGCACCGAAAACAAAGTTCAATTATATTCACGCAAAAAACAACCAACGAAAAAAAAAAACCTTAATGAATAAACGATTAATTCTAACACATTAATTTATTCATAACACAGTCGCAAACCGACCTCAACGCTTAAATACACGGTTAAATCGAACTAATCGAGTCGAAATATGCCAACGTACGGATTTAAAAGCGAAGATATCGTGAATTCAAACCGAATCACACAAGAAGAAATCGACGAGATCAAAGAATGGGCTTTAACGCAAAAAGTACCTCGATTAAACGACGAACAAGTGGTCAATTTCGTGTTGTCTTGCGAACGAAATATTGATTTAGCGAAAAATACGGTTATTGAATTTTACAAAACACGAAAAGATTATAAAGAGTTATTTAATAATCGAGATTTAGACGATGATGATATAAAAAGCCAATTAGAAGCTTTGTAAGTATTAAAAAAAAATTTGACGTTTAAAACGTCAAAAAAATTTAATCAAAATTAATTTTTTTTAAGAGAATATATTTATCTTCCAAAACGTACGAAAGCCGGTGAAGCTTTAATTTATCACAAATTATCGGATACAACTTACTGGAAATATAAAATGAGTCCTTCGATGAAATTGTTATTCATGACTATTGATGCGGCCGTTTATCAAAGTCCACCAACGGGGCTTATTATTTTATTCGATATGAAAGGGGTTAATTTAATTTAAATCAAATTTACTCAAAATTAAATTAAATTATTTCAGGTTTCCTTGATGCACCTAACCAGAATAAAAGTAGGGATTATAAAGGCTTTTAGCCAATACACCCAAGACGCCTTACCCGCCAAATTAATCGCCATTCACGTTCTAAACACCCAATACTTTATAAACAAAATCATGGCCTTTTTTAAACCGTTTTTAAAACCGCATATTTACAATTTGGTAATTTGACACTTAATATTACAGGTTTCTTTTTAACCTCATTTCTTTTAGTTACATTTTCATCCACCGACATTAAACCTGGAGGATTTTCATAAAAACTTTGTAGATAAAGATTGCTTACCCGCTGATTTAGGAGGAACGTTGAAACCAACCGCGGAACTCCATCAGGATAACATAAAACTCCTTCGGAATATGAAACAATTCTTCGACGAGGAGGAAAACGAACGAAACGAATTCTTCGACACAAAATGACGCTTCAAAGGTGCCGCCATTTTGGGGGTATACACAATTAAAGAACGTAGCCTATTTAATAATAATTTTGATTGTTTAATTGTTATAATGTAAATAATTAAAGAATTTTGTTAAATTTTTGTATACATTAATGGTTGAAAGCTTAAATTTGAAATAAATTGTTTATATAAATAAAAAATTTTTGATTGTACCCTTATAAAAAAAAAATTTGACAGATTAAAATTGACATTAACCTCACTTTTTGAAATCAATTCAAATTTTATTGATATAGACTTTATTTAATAAAGATAATAATACATATTTAACAAATTAAAATCGAATTAATATCCTATAAAACCTATCACATTGATTACACGATATTAATTTAGTTATTTTATCTTATTACAAGTTTAATGTGCATAATAATTGTTGTCCGGTGGTTGTAATTAATTTCTTAATCTGATTCGCATGCATAGTCTCCTTACAAATAGTGATATAGGGTTCGTAATTTTGAATTTCATTCAACACGTTACCATCAGCTTTGGAATGTTTTAAAAGAGATTCAATATCATCGAGATTAATAATCGGTTCGCACTCCAACACGTTCGAATTTTTAGTTGTGTTTTCGGCGTCTTTAGTCTTTAATTTTTGCGGAAAAACTTGTAAAAGTTGTTCTAAATTCATCGACATCGCGACGTGCGTTAAAACATCTTTAAGAATCTTTTTGTAGAAGAAACAAACGTGTTGTAACTCTTTATTTTCGGATAATCGAACGATTTTGTTTTGAATCGTCGCTATTAAGTGTTTCCATTCGTCTAATTTGCTAAAACGATCCTAAAAATGAATGAATTTAATAATAAATATTGTTTGTTTTGATTTTTACCTTTCCAAATTGAAGCAAACATTGGGGGCATTTCTCAACTAACAATGAGATTGCTTCATTTATCAACAAAATGATCGATAACATACTCAAATGCCCGCGTAAATTCTCATTCATGTCTAAAAAGACGACCAAGTCGACTAAAATGTGTTTATTGGCTATTGGGCTGCATAAAATCGCTTGTAATTTTTTTAAAACGAAATCTGCGTCGGGATTGGGTTGGTTTTCGCTTTCTATGGGTTTATTTAAGGTTGCTTGGTACAATTTTGAGGTTATTTCCGGTTGATATGGTGGCATTTTGTCTAAATACTCGTAACGAAAATTGGAGAATAAAAACTTTTGTTTCTCGTTTGATTTTGGTTCCTCAAAGTAAGGTTTTTCTTGATCTTGGTCATTTTCTTGGGTGTTGCTAAAAACAAATCTCAAATAATTAATTAAAAAACCGAATCAAATTAATTAATTACATGTCCTTATCGATATCGACCTCCTTTTTAGTGTTTTTTTCCTTAATTTGCATAATTTGGACTTCTGATAAATAAGATCGAACCAATAATTTTAACCCCTCGCTGCTCGCCCAATCCAAAACCAACTTGTTTAACTCGATTTCATCGAATTTCGAAAAATAACTCGTAAAATACATCTCTAAAGTTTTTTGTAAAACTTCTCTCCCCGTCGTTGTATCAGTCCCGATAGAAGCTGGCAAATACTCCAAAAAAATCTTCAACATCTTATGAAAACTAATTACTTTCTTTTCAACGATTAATCCGACGAAAATTTCGGAGGTTATCTTTGGATAAACCCCCATTAAAAGGATTGAGAGCTCCGAAAAAGTGAAACTCTTCGATTTCGCCGAAACGGAAACCTCAAACAACAACTCGTGGTTATCTTTAAGGATTTTTGAAAGATCCTCTTTCAAAATTATGGCTAAAACATCTTCGGCTCGGCGGTTATTACATTTTTGAATGTAAAGTAAGGTTAAAGCGAGCGATTTTTCAGGATTTCTCGTGTTTATATCCCCCGTTCTTTTCGTTAAAACCGAAATTAACTTATCGGTGGAATATTGTCGCAAAATATTACTCTTCAAAATCAAATTAGGCAAATCGTCCAAAGAATGCTTCTCAAATAACTCGATTATTTTTTCCGAAATATTTTGCTTCGAACCGGCGATATATAATTTTTCAATTTCCAAACTCGATTTTGTATCCAATAAAATCGTTTTTAAATAATACAATAACCCCTTTATGTTCTAAAAAGAAAAAAAAAAAAGTGAGGTTAACTTTGTAATTTATTAACTTACATTGTTGTTGGATTGTTCTTGAATTTTTTTAATACGATTTAAAACCTCCAAAGGATAAACTTTCGCCATTTTATAGTATGGGACACATAAAGAGTAATCATTTTTGTTTAAACACCTAAAAAAGAAATTAAAAACATTTAAATACTAAACTGTCAAAATTTGACGTTTCAAGAAACCTACTTTACCGACTTCAAAAATCAAATTTTAACTTACATAACGTAATGATCCGCTAATAAAGCGCAAGAAGTTCGATACGCCTCAACCAAATCATCACTATTACTTTCCTTTATAACGGCTAAATTCACGTTTGAGTTTTCATTAAAACTCCATCGATTCAAAACCAAATTTAGCCGTAAAATGACGTGCCCCTCGTTCATTAAGTGGCAATAAGTTTGCGAGGAACTAAACCGATGAGAATTTGCGACTATTGAGATGTCGTTAAAGACGGTTTTTGCCGATGGAAGTTCCAAGTCGTACAAGGTCCAATAAGCGGAAGTGGTGGTTGAACTACTTCCGCTTGAACTGACCGAGTGTGTTGGAGATGAATCGGAATTTGCTAAGAGTAGGAGGTGGTTTTCGGATATTAAGATTTCTTCGACCCCCAAAAATGGGCGCAAACCCATCAAACAAACTGATTCTTGTACGCTTGGGCAAGCCTAAAAAAATATTAACTAAATTATTTAATTGCAACTTTTTAATGATCAAATTCACGATTTGTATTATTAATTAAGTTGGTTATTATTAGATTTTTCTTAAAATTCCTAAAAGTTAGGTTAAAATCGCTAAAATTGACAGATTAAGTTAGGTTAGAACCATCAAAATTAGAACCAATAAAAATTTTTTTAATTTATTTAATTCATTCCTTCTTAGTTCCAAAATTTTTAGTGACATTTTACCATGGCCAACTTCCTACCAACCCAAAATCTAAATATAACCAAATGTGGATGCTTTTGACAATATTTGAAACCAGCATTACCAACACAATTTAAGAAAAATTGAAATTTAGCCGTGTCCATCAATTTTTTTGTATAACTCAATAATTATAATCGATGGTAAAAAACATTTCATACGAAAAAGGTTTAGAATTAACCCATACAAGATACCTCATAAGTTATTTTAATCCACCGATCAATGATGCCAACCTAACCCAAGAAAAATGGAACTTCTGACGTTTTCAACAATTTTCTTGTATACAAACTTAAAAATTATAACCAATGGAAAAAAATATTTCGTACAAAAAAGGTTTATAATTAACCCATAAAACATATCCAATAAATTATTTTAATCCACCGATCAGCAGTACCAACCCAAGTTAAGAAAAATAGAAATTTTGACATTTTCAACAATTTTCCTTTATAACTGAAAAATTATAACCGATGGATAAAAAAATTTCATACAAAAAAGGTATAGAATTAACCCATAAATCATATCCAATATGCTATATTAATCCACCAATCAACAGTACCAAACCAACCTAAAAAAATAGAAATTTTGACGTTTTCAACAATTTTCTTGTATAACTCATTAATTATAACCGATGGAAAAAAACATTTCATACAAAAAAGGTTTAGAATTAACCCATAAAACATATCCAACAAGTCATTTTAATCCACCGATCAATAGTACCAACCTAACCCAAGAAAAATGGAAATTTTGACGTTTTCAACAATTTTCTTGTATAACTCAATAATTATAACCGATGGAAAAAATATTTCATACAAAAAAGGTTTAGAATTAACCCATAAAAGACACCTCATAAGTTATTTTAATCCACCGATCAATAGTACCAACCCAAACCCAGAAAAATAGAAATATTGATGTTTCCATCAATTTTCTTGTATAACTCAATAATTATAACCGATGGAAAAAAATATTTCATACAAAAAAGGTTTACAATAAACACATAAAACATATCCAATATGTTATCTTAATCCACCGATCAGCAGTACCAACCCAACCCAAGAAAAATAGAAATTTTGACGTTTTCAACCATTTTTTTTCTATAACTCAATAATTATAAGCGATGGAAAAAACATTTCATATAAAAAAGGTTTAGGATTAACCCATAAACATATCCAATATGTTATTTTAATCCACCGATCAGCAGTACCAACCCAACTTAAGAAAAATAGACTTCTGACGTTTTTAACAATTTTCTTTTGTAATTCAATAATTATAACTAATAGAAAAAAACATTTCACACCGATCTATAGGTTTAGAATTACCCCATAAAACATATCCAATAAGTTATTTTAATCCACCAATCAATAGTACCAACCCAACTTAAAAGTAATCGAAATTTTGCCGTTTCCATCAATTTTCTTTTATAACTCAATAATTATAGCAGATGGAAAAAAACATTTCATTCAAAAAAGGATTAGAATTAACCCATAACATATATCCAATATGTTATTTTAATCCACCGATCAGCAGTACCAACCCAACCTAAGAAACATGGAAATTTTGCCTTTTCAACAATTATGTTGTATAATTTAATAACTATAACCGATAGAAAAAAACATTTCATACAAAAAAGGTTTACAATAAACCCATAAAATATATCCAATATGTTATTTGAATCCACCGATCAGCAGTATCAACCCAACGTAAGAAAATAGAAATTTTGACGTATTCAATCATTTTCTGTTATAACTTAATAATTATAACCGATGGAAAAAAACATTTCATACAAAAAAAGTATAGAATTAACCCATAAAGTATATCTAATAAGTTATTTTAATCCACCTATCAGCAGTACCAATCCAACCTAAGAAAAATGGAAATTTTCTTGGAAATTTCGACTTTTCAACAATTATCTTGTATAACTCAATAATTGTAACCGATGGAAAAAAACATTTCATACAAAAAAGGTTTACAATAAATCCATAAAACATATCTAATATGTTATTTTAATCCACCGATCAGCAGTACCAACCCAACTCAAGAAAAATAGAAATTTTGACGTTTTCAACAATTTTCTTGTATAACTTAATAATTATAACCGATGGAAAAAAACATTTCATACAAAAAAGGTATAGAATTAACCTATAAAGTATATCTAATAAGTTATTTTAATCCACCTATCAGCAGTACCAACCCAACCTAAGAAAAATGGAAATTTAGACTTTTCAACAATAAGTAGGGCCGTTAAGGTCAATCAATTAAAAAGACCGTCTTTCAAAAAATCGATATTCTAACTTAAATTAGACGGATTAGTAACGTTTTCACGTTCGAAAATTGTTTCATTTTTGCAATAATTAATGTTAAAGTTTAAAATTCCCCACCCCCGACTCCAGATGACGTTTTAAGTAAGAGGAAAGAAATCACAGACGTTACGTTCGCTCCCGTTTTCTTCTAGCGCATAAGATTCGTAGCATTGTCTCTATCCAGGAATTTTATTGATTTTTATACGCTCCAATCGTACGCTCAAATCTGAGTGACGTACTTTGGAGTTCGCGCAATATAGTTTCAAACTTTATTATTTCTTTCTGGAAAAACTAAGCCTCACAATCAAAAATTAAAAAAATATTGGATCAATCAATTTTAAAAAACTTTCGAATAAGCCAATAAAAAAAATACTTAACAGCCCTATTATCTTGTATAACTCAATAATTATAAAAGATGGAAAAAAACATTTCATACAAAAAAAGTTTAGAATTAACCCATAAAACATATCCAATAAGTTATTTTAATCCACCTATCAGCAGTACCAACCCAACCTAAGAAAAATAGAAATTTTGACGTTTTCAACAATTTTCTTCTATAACTCAGTAATTATAACCGATGGAAAAAAACATTTCATACAAAAAAAGTTTAGAATTAACCCATAAAACATATCCAATAAGTTATATTAATCCACCGATCAGCAGTATCAACCCAATGTAAGAAAAATAGATTTTTGACGTTTTCAACACTTTTCCTTTATAACTCAATAATTATAATTGATAGAAAAAACCGTTTCATACAAAAGAGGTTTAGAATTACCCCATAAAACATATCCAATAAGTTATTTTAATCCCCCAATCAATAATATCAACCCAACTTTAAAATAATAGAAATTTTGACGTTTCCATTAATTTTCTGTTATAACTTAATAATTATAACCGTTGCAAGAAAACATTTCATACAAAAAAGGTTTAGAATTAACCCATAAAACACATCCAATAAGTTATTTTAATCCACCGATCAGCAGTACCAACCCAACTGAAGAAAAATAGACTTTTTCTTGTACGCTTGGGCAAGCCCAAAAAAAATATTAACTAAATTATTTAATTGCAACTTTTTAATTATCAAATTCGCGTTTTGTTTTATTAATTACGTTACTTATTATTAGATTTTTGATTTTTCTTGAAATTCCTAAAAGTTAGGTTAAAATTGACAGATTAAGTTAGGTTAGAACCATCAAAGTTTGACACATTACTTTATAAGTTAGGTTAGAATCAATAAAAATTTTTTAATTCATTTAATTAATTCTTTAGAAATCAATAATCACCCATTTAAACGTATTAATTTAATTTCTTACCGAATTTTCATTATCAATAACCTCCAAATGTTTGCATAACTCGTGTCCAATTCTCAAAGTGTACGATTCCAACCCGGTTTCGGTTAATGCGTGTAAAAAGTGATTCTCCAAAACGATTTTATAAATAGGTGCGGTAAACGGATAAATAGAAATGCAATGATCGATCGATTTCGAAGTATCTAAAAACGATTGTTTAAATTTAAATTTAAATTTGAAGTTTTTTAAATTATTTTCTTACCATAATCACAAAATTGATATAAATACCCTTCTTGTTGCGTTGTAATGATACAAGCTACGCTGTGTAATAAATTGCGATGTAGACTCTTCAAAGTGTTATTAATATCGTTATTTTTGCGCGCTTTTAACAAGTTTGGTTTGACATACAACGGTTTTAACGTTAAACATTTAAACTCTTCCGTTACTTGTTTTTGCGCGCATTCCACAACGATCGGTTTCAACCGAAGTTGAACCAAATCTTCAATTTCATAATTAAAACTTTTAACGTCGATTATATTCGGGGAAAATCGAATCGCGGCTTTAATTTCTTTATCGCAAAACGTAAACGGACAATATTTATGTATTATGCTATTTTCTTTCATGATCGTTGGTAAATAAACCGTAATTTTTTCTTTCCCCATGTTTAAAGCTTCATTTTTTAATAATTGTTTGTAATTAATCGGTTTATCTTGATCTTGATTGTTGTAATGGAAGCTATATTCTGAGTTTAATTCGTTCGCGATCAAAATCTCCTTTTGTTGTTTGTTTACGATTTTAAACATGTGGAATGTGTCCCCGTTGGAACATGCGAAATAATTCTCGGCGATGTGGATTTCTCTTGGATAAAAACACAAATCGATCGTTAATGGTAATTCCTCGAAATCGATAAATTTTAATTTTGAAATGTCGTGCGTTTTTATCTCGAACGTGTAAATTGTTATCGATTTATTCATTTGAATGATTAAGTTTCCTGAAATCTAAAAAAAAATTTATTAAATTATAAAATTAATATATATGTATAATATTCTTAATCAAAATTAATTTGATTCAACTTTATTAGATTAATTAATTAAATTAAGACCTATTTTGAATAGGAATGAAGTTGGTTTCAATCCCTACAAATTTTGACATAAATAAAAACATAACCTAAAAATTATTTTTTTTAAAGATTTTAAATAGAATTTACATAAATACCTCAAATTAAGCTGTTCCCCTCAAGTAATTTAATCAAATTTTGAAACAAACTTCTATATTAAAGCTCCTTTTATACAACAACATTTAATTTACCTCTTAACGAAATCAACAATACAATATACTTCCATATGTAGTTCCACTATCACTATTATTTTCATTAATTCCTTTTTTGAAATTAATCGAGATTAAAACCAAATTTAATTTAAAATCGCAACTTAAAGTTTAATCAGAAAATTAATTTTTAAATGAGGTTATGTTGCTTATTTTGACGTAAATGTAAGTGGCTCCATCTACCGATCTTTTTTTTTGTAAATTTTTTTATAAAATGTAATTAATTAAAATTTTGATTTAATATTTCTTAATCAAAATTAATTTGATTCAACTCTATTACATTAATCAATTAAATTAAGAACGATTTTGAATAGGAATGAAGTTGGTTTCAATCCCTACAAATTTTGACATAAATAAAAACATAACCTAAAAATTATTTTTTTAAGATTTTAAATAAAATTTACATAAATACCTCAAATTAAGCTGTTTTCCCTCATTTAATTTATTCAAATTTTGAAACAAACTCCTATATTAAAGCTCCTTTTATACAACAACATTTAATTTACCTCTCAACGAAATCAACAATACAATATACTTCCATATCTAGTTCCAATATCACTATTATTTTCATTAATTCTTCTTTTGAAATTAATCGAGATTAAAACCAAATTTAATTTAAAATCGCAACTTAAAGTTTAATCGGAAAATAAAGTTTTAAATGAGGTTATGTTGCTTATTTTGACGTAAATGTAAGTGGCTCCATCTACCGATTTTTTTTTTTGTAAATTTTTTTATAAAATGTAATTAATTAAAATTTTGATTTAATATTTCTTAATCAAAATTAATTTGATTCAACATTATTAGATTAATCAATTAAATTAAGACCGATTTTGAATAGGAATGAAGTTGGTTTCAATCCCTACAAATTTTGACATTAATAAAAACATAACCTAAAAATAATTTTTTTTAAGATTTTAAACAAAATTTACATAAATACCTCAAATTAAGCAGTTCCCCTCAATTAATTTAATCAAATTTTCAAACAAACTCTATATTAAAGCTCCTTTTAACCTCTTAACATATAAAAAATTATTTAATACCTGACAAACGTTAATTTGTTGCGGATTTCTCTTAACAGGAATCTCAATCATCTCTAAATTCCCCAATTCTGATTGATTCGTTGTCGGAGTAACCCTCCCGGCGATTCTAGCCCTCATCGGTTGAACCATCCCGCACTCGGAAGTCGTTAAACTCACCCCGCTGCTTGTCATTTTCGATTGTTGCATCGTCGCCAAACTATCCCAGTTTAAATAAACCCGAACGAAATTAATTTCGTGGTTTTGCCGGTTAAACTTCGATTCTAACGTTGCTATAAAGTTCCCATTCAAACAGTGCATTATTTGGGTGACCTCATCAACAGTTGGAAAAGTAAACAAAACCTCAGCGTGGTCTTTAAGATTCCTCACTTCAATCGAGTGACTTGATAAAGCTAAAAGGAGCTTATCCGGGTGGGCGATTGCACTCGCTGTTGGTTGCTCAATAACTTGTACATTTTGGTTGGCGAAATGATGTGTAGAAATAACTCGAACCATTTTTTATGTGTTTTTGCTGAAAAATATTAAATAACCGATTAAAAACGATGGGGAGGTCAGATAATGGTCTTTAAATACTATAAATATGGGCGAGTAAAGTATTGATTTTTATACGCACCCGGGGATGAGATTTTTTTGGGAAATTTGGGTTAAAATTAAATTTTAGTATGTTTTAAAACGTTTGTGGGTGATTTCTTGCAATTTTTAATTCAAATTTGAGTTAAATTGGGGATTTAAACTTTGTTTTGATGTTTAGTATTTATTGTAAACATAACCTTTCTTTTTAATTTGAAGGTTATTAGCGCCATCTATCGGGGAATTTTTGGTTGTAATTAATTTTTATTTCTTAATTTTATGGAAATTAATTAATAATTAATTATTTAAATGGGTTTTTGGTGTTAATTAGATTCCTTGCAATTTTTAATTCAAATTTGGGCTAAATTGGAGGTTTAAACCTTGGTTTGATGTTTAGGATTTATAGTAAACTTTGATTTGACAGATTATTAGCGCCATCTATCGGGAAATTTTTGGTTGTAATTAATTTTTATTTATTAATTTTATGGAAATTAATTAATAATTATTTATTTAAGTGGCTTCTTGATATTAATTAGATTAATTTGAGTTTATTGGAATTAATAAAATATATAATAAAACTTTCTTTAAATTTTTGGTGTATTTTATACGCACACGGAGATGAAATTTTTTTTGGGAAATTTGGGTTAAAATTAAGTTTTAATATGTTTTAAAACGTTTCTGGGTGATTCCTTGCAACTTTTAATTCAATTTTGACCTAAATTGTTTTGATATTTAGGGTTAAAGTAAACATAACCTTTTTGTTAGCGCCATCTATCGGGGAACTTTTTGTTGTAATTAATTTTTATTTATTATTTTTATGAAAATTAATTAATAATTAATGATTTAACTGGCTTTTTGGGGTTAAATGGACTTTTTGATTAATTTCAGTTTATTAGAATTAATAAAATATTGGCATTAATAAAATTAAAATATTGGTGTATTTTGGGTTGCCTAACACCAGAAAATTTGATTTCATATTTTTAGGTAACTTTTTTTGATTTATTTGAGGTGTTTTAATACTTTTAATGCAAACAATTAGCAGTTAACCTACTTTTTAAATTGGTTTATTTCCGCAAGGGTCGTACCATTAGGTTACGCCAAAAGGAGCTTCACCCGAATCGCACTCGCAGTTGGTTGCTCAATAACTTGAACGTTTTGGTTGGCGAAATGATGCGTAGAGATAACTCGAATCATTTTTTATGTGTTTTTGCTGAAAATATTAAATAATCGATTAGGAATATAGGCGAGTTAAGTATTGGTTTTTATACGCACCCGTGGAATAAAATTTTCTTGGGAAATTTGAGTTAAGATTGCATTTTAGTATGTTTTAAATCTTTTATGGGTGATTCCTTGCAATTTTTAACTCAAATTTCACCTAAATTGGAGGTTTAAACTTTGTTTTGATGTTTAGAGTTAACAGTAAACATAACCTTTTTGGTTGATTTGTCAACTATTAGCGCCATCTATTGGGAAATTTTTGGTTGTAATTAATTTTTATTTATTATTTTTATGAAAAATAATTAATAATTAATGAATTAAGTGCTTTTTTGGCGTTAATTGGACTTTTTGATTAATTTCAGTTTATTGGAATTAATAAAATATTGGAAATAATAGAATAAAAATTTTGGTGTAGTTTGGGTTGCCTAATACAAGTAAAATTTGATTTAAAAATATTTTTAGGGTTACTTTTTTTGGTTTATTTGAGGGGTTTTAATACTTTTAATGCAAACAATTGGCAGTTAACCTACTTTTTAAATTGGTTTATTGCCGCAAGGGTTGTACAATTGGGTAAATTCGCAAAAAAACAATAAAAAAAAGTTTAATCAAGTTCAATTAATCGTTTCTTCTTTGTTGTGTTTTTTTAAACGGTTATTCGACCGAAATCTCTATAAATAAATCGAACCGTTTTCATTACCCGATTAATGCCTATTAGAGGCGAAGGAAAAATGCCACCAAACACATTACCCGAGATCAATTAGGAGGAGAGAATTCCACAAACCGTTCCGTATTTGGCGTGTAACGGTCGTTTTTCCTGTTTATATAAAGAGAAAATCTGACGTGCGCGTCCCAAGAACGGATTATTAGAGGCAAATGCGTTTAAACCGGCGTGAGGTCCAAAATCAGACCACGAAAATTTCTCGAATTAATCTTGATTTGAAATTCGCGTTCAATTCAAGCCTGAATTGAAGCATAAATACTTAATCAATCAATTTTAAGGGGGAAATACCGAATAATAATTTGGTCAAATTGCGTCAAATTTTCGTCGTCTTCTTAAATCCTTAACGAGTGCTGTAGGTCAGTGCGTCTCTATTTAGAATCGCCCGCGGGGACGTCGGTTTGTTTTTCAATTGACGTTCAGTCTAGACGAACGTGGTTATTGACATTCGCCAAATTTTTCGGCATTAATTGGCCGTCGGAATATCTTTATTATACTCCTATATAAAAAAAAATAAAAATCCCTGACCCTACCTTCGTAATCTTCGTTAGATTATGCATCCTGTTTAATTATTTCGATAACAACAACAAAATTTTGATGTTAACTTAATTACTTTTATTTATAACCTAAAAAAAAAAATTAACGTCACTTTGACGTATAAACGTCAAATAATTTAATTAACAAAGTGACGTTTAAACGTCAAATAGATTTTGAGGTTATTTTTAAAGAATTGAAAATTTTTTAAGACGTACTTTGTAATCTAAAAAACCCTGACCCTACCACGAAAGATATCTTCGAATGAGAGGTATTTTCATTTGGAATCTCATTTTTTATTTTTTTTTTCCGTTCGAAGCGATAAAACCGGGTGCATACACTGACAAACAGAAAAAGCGTGGCGATAAGGAGTACCACAACATTCTTCGGGTTACAAAGGAAAAAATTATCGAAAAAATTTAAAAAGGAAAATGAAAATTACCGAGAAATTGTTCCTTGGCGGTATCGATTACTTACTTTTTCTTTTAGTTTTATTATTAGTTTTTTTTTGCTTCACTTTTTCCCCCTTGCATAATACGGTCCTAATTGCGCCTATTATATTCCATTATTTCATTATATTCACGAGCGTGTCGCGAATGAATTAGTTTAGATTTGAAATTTCGATAAAAAATTAAAACTTATATTTTCCGAAAGAATTTTAATTAATTTCGTATTAGATTAATTGGATTAATTTGAAATTAGGAAAAATATAAATTAGTTTTGATGTCAAAAATTAATAATTTTTGAGGTTATTTTTGTATCTGTCAAAATAAAGTGGAAATTAAAAAATCATTCCAATGATATTTTGAAGCACAGAGCAAAGATTTATGTCTTAAATTAAAGCGAAAAGATTCTATTTTGTGATGGGATTAAAAAAATGTATGGTTTGATAAGGAAAATTTTTAAAAAAAGAATCTTGAAGATAAAGTTGTAAATCTAGGTTATGTTGAAAACGTCATAAAAAGGATAAAATTTAAATAATTACCCTGACTTTATTTTTGGGAGTTAAGCAATGATTTATATCTTAAATTGAAGCTTAAAGACTCTATTTTATGATAACGTATAAAAATTAAATGATTCGATGACGAGATTAACCAGAAAAACGTATTAAACAAAAAATTGGTTTTTGAGGTTATTTTTGTATCTGCCAAAATAAAGAGGAAATTAAAAAAATCATTCCAACGGTATTTTGAAGCGCAGAGCAAAGATTTATGTCTTAAATTAAAGCTAAAAGTTAAAGCTAAACTTTACTTAAAATGAAATTTTAAAAATCCTACTTTATTTGACGTTTGCTGAAAGTGAGGTTATAAAAAAATTGATTTCTCCTAAACGGTTAAGATTCAAGAAATGAAACTTTTTGAGGTTATAGAGGAAGGTTTGAGGTTGGATCACACCAAATTACAAGCTTCCAGGTTGATTACTTTACTTAATATAACATTTTAAAAATAACCTATTTCATTTGACGTTTTCTGAAAGTGAGGTTAAAGAAAAATGTTTTTCTCTTAATCGGTTAAGATTCAAGAAATGAAACTTTTTGAGGTTATAGAGGAAGGTTTGAGGTTGGATCACACCAAATTATAAGCTTCCAAGGCGATTACTTTACTTAATATAATATTTTAAAATTTCCTATTTTATCTGACGTTTGTG